AAAAATAGATGAAAACTATACTTATCCCCCCTAACAGTTAGTAAATAATCGTAAAAAGCGATAAAAGACACGTGTAAGTGAAAATAAGTTACGCATGCGTATTGAATAAAAACCTTTCATGTGCCTTTTATCACTTTTTACGATTATTTACTGACTGTCAAAGAAAATAAGCATAGCTTTCGTATTTTTATAAATGTTTTAAAACAATCTCATTATTTCGTTTTATCCAAATTGTTTTTATTTATAAATGGTACATAATAAAAATTAACGTGTCATTTCTCGCTTCTGACGTTACAATTCAATATGGCTGTGACGACTACTCAGAGCTTTAAAGACTCATAACTCTGAAATTATGAGGAATGTTCTTAAGTTTTTTACAGCACAATACACTGCACTCTTTTTTCTTTCTTATGTAATTTTTTCATAACTTTTTTGCGTATTTTTATAACGTTTAAAATAAGAATTTTTCCAGTATGGTGGGATTTTGGCAACGAGGAAATTCGTTATTGCATCGTTATTGCAATATCGTAATGTCACTATAATGGTACTGTAATATTACATGCTATGTATACGGATATATGAATATGTCATTTGTCTTTTCACATAAAGCAATTTCCTCTATTAAAATTTATAACTTCAATAAATAAAAACACATAGATAATATACCTGGAATACAGAGATTACCAACACTGTAACCAGCAGTGCCTGCTATGTAATATCCAGCTCTACCGATTCCTTGAATGTCCCTCAATCGACCTCCAGTACCTGTTGTGGCGCCACTAAACAGTTTATTACATGTTTAAATAAGAGCACATGCAGACATAATCATGAGAATGCATCCCTAATTATTAGAATGCCAACGTTTCAGTCAAAGTAAATTGCATTGTTCAAGTGAACAGTGCAGTTCACTTCATCACGGTGAGGAGCAGCTTGACACTCCACCAAGTATCAGTGAACTACAATGTTTACGAAAAGTTAATGTAATAATTGATAATTGAATAAATAATATTCGAAATATTTTAATTTTTAAAAGATTATGTAAGAAGTATAACTTTTATATTATAGAAATAAACAGAGCAATAGGGTAAATATAAATATATTATAATCGTAAAGGAGATAAGTAAACGAATTGTAATGAAAATTTAGAAATTCAGTAATTTTAACTCCAACTTCTTAAACTTTATTACATTTTATTTAAATTTACCTGAAAGGTGCAACGCCAGTTGGAAAGTTATGTGTTTCTGCTGTAAAAATAAGATGCTGTTTGATATTTTCCAGATGGAAGTTACTGCATTTATAAGTATTTATAGGACGTAAAACAGGAATCTCAAATCCTTCTATCGCACTGCTATTGTCGCTGAATTTTATTACATTATTTGAATTAGAGTAATTTTGCGTATCCATAATCATGTCAATCAGAGATTGTTTTTCTTCTTTTCCATTCAAAATGATGCGTCCTTTAAAGAACCAGTGGCGACTATGTTCACTGTTAGATTGAGCAAGATCGAAACATTCTACGCTGGTTGGATTCCGTTTTAATTTTTTAAGAAATAATTCTGTATAAAAATCTAAATCCCAGTCATCAAATGCCAAACCTGCAAAATAAAAATTTAAAATAATAAAATTGTAGCAGCATACCCTGTTCAAAAGTGTCCAATAAATTAAAATGAGTCCAATTATTAAAAATAATAAAAATTTGCATCAATTCAATAACAACAAGAATATAAATTTTATTATATGATAATTTTATCACATGTATACATTTAACATTAAATTTTAAAAAAGAAAATTTATTTAACTTCCGTACTTTTTATATCTTTATTTTTATATGAATAATATATTCTTTTTATTTTAATTCAGAAGACATACATATTTCAACTATGTGTGCTTTTTCGTTTAATTAAAAAATGTTAGTCTTTTAAATATTACTACTTACCCAATTTAAAATTAACTTCTTCCAAAGCACTTCTACCTTTTTTAATTATATCAACTTCAAACCATTTTTCTGGTCTAAAACCATGATCAAATGTTTCAATAGGTTTCATATATCTATATTCTGTCATTCTATCTCCCAACACATTTATAATCTACAAAATTTATAATATTTTTTAAACATAGAAAACGTCTTGTAATAAATGACAATAATAAACTCGTCAACAAAATTATCGCAATAAATAAATTCTATCAAAATTTTTTCAACCATCTGCAAGAAAATTAATATCAAATATAATATCTATATAATAAAATAAAAGATACATACAGCGTTTTCTATTTTTTCGTTTAATCTTCTTTTATGTTTAATGCAATATCTGATTGCTACTTCTACTCTTTTTACTTTATTTAATTTGACAGTTTTGCATATAGAAACCACATTGGTAGAAAATGCAGTGGAGAAATTCAATCTACAACAGAAAGTTATTGATATACTGAGTATACCAGAAGTAGGTAATATCAGAAGATATGGTAGTGTCTCGCGCTAAGACATGCGTAGCGACATGTCAGCGCGAGACCGGCCGTGTAACTTTACGCGAACCGTACTACATACATAGAGCGTCCCCTTTTAAAAAAATACATTAAGATTTCTTGAAAACTATAGTAGATACGGAATAATGTTTCTAACAAGAGTTGTATGGTTCGAAGGAGGACATATCCAGATAACAAAACGTTCCTTGGCATAAGAAAAGAAATAGGTGTTTAGCACAAATTTCTCTTTAATTGCCATCATGTTGCTGTCACCAGGGCAATAATAATTTCGTTTAGAGCAACCTAGAGCAGACAATTGTTTGCGCAAACGAGCGGAAATGCTATAACAAACTTATTGCCATAAATATTGCTATAATCTGTTGGAAATTGTTTTCGTAAAATACTATTTAGTTCACATTTCTGTCAATTGAATAGAAATGGAGCGTCGTCAAGCAAATGATAGAAAAATTGGCCAGTCATTTAAAAATTAAAAATGAAAACGGAGAAATCTTAAACTATTTAGGAGATTTCCGAGAATATATATAGGCTTTTTCTCGTATGATGTTCTATGGCGTGCCGCAAGTAGCCATAAACCATTCTCTTGATGGAAAAGTATGTGTGGCTCTGAAATAATTTCACCTATTGCATCAAAATTGTTACAGTTGTCTCCGACATCCTGTGCTTACGAAAGAAATTGGTCAGAGCATGGAAGTGTCCATTCTTTGAAAAGAAATAGACTGAAACATGAAAAAGTATCGAAGCTTGTCGCAATGCAATTTCTTGAAAATAATAAAATTAATTCCTCATAATTCTCATAAACTCTCTGTCTCTGTCTTTAATAAGAATGCTACCAACACTGTTATGAATGACAGTTTTACTTCCGATGATGAATCATATAGTGAGAGATGAAAAATGAAAATTTTTTTATCGTAATAATTCTCATAAGAAGAAATTATAATTTTACAAGATAGATTTGCTTCTCATGAGAAGAAATCGCCCAGAAGTTCTATAAGAATTGGCGTATGTAAATCGAATAGGCAAATCTAGAGATTCCCAAGCTCTTTCGGAGTGTGCTTTCTGAATCTCTATATTTTTTTGACTATTTTATAACTTTCTCATTTTGAAATATAAAGCTAATCAATAATATTTTAACAATACGAAAACTGTATTGATTGTTTCCAATTTTCATCCTTCTTTCTTTTGTAAAATTACTTTTTACTGTAAATAACAATAGTAATGTGAAAACATTAAAAATAATTATAAGGATAATTTGCACACTATTTATTTTAGAAAAAATCAAGTTCGAAGAAATGTAAAACAATTACTTATGTATAATTATATATGAAATTATGCATAATTGTGTATAAGCAATTTTTTTTATATTTTTCCGAACTTGTTTTTCTCTAAAACGAACAATGCGAAAATTATCCCTTCAATTATTTTTTATGCTTTCACATTACTATTGTCATTTTTATTATACTAAAAAGTAATTTTACAAAAGAAAGAGGGATGTATGAATATGTATGGACATATTTCATATATATGATTATATATGTGTTTATGAATATTCATGTATGTTTATATACTTATTTATACATATTAATGTATGAAAAATTTTTTACCAGGATACTTCTATATATTAATACTAGATATTATATAATTATATTATATATATGTATGTCATACGTAATACATAAAAAAATAATATATAATACAAACATCAATGAAAGTTATGAAAAACAAAACTATAAGGCAAGATAAAATATATAATTGTGAGATAAAATTTTACCTGGGTCCAATTTCAATAACATGGTTTTGAGTATCACTGAACATACTATCACATCGCAAACATTCTCCTTCTAAGAGAGGTGACAAGATCCATTTTAATACTTGCACTTCATCTTCCTCTAGTGATTCTGTTTCTACATAATAACACAATTCGGTCTCAAGGCTGGTCACTGAGGCTTCGATTTGCAATACCTTATGTAGTTTATTTTTCAGTTGGCCTGTCTTTAGACCAGGCGTCTTAAAAAATTTCAAGATCATTTTCGATGGTCTGTAAAAAAGATGATGGACTAAGGAACCATGTAACGGACACGCAGAAACTATTTAAGGTTATGAATATCTAATATGCTTTAATACGTATCTACTGTTGTTTGGTGATAAGCACAGACGATATGGATCACTTTCAAAGCTGACATTTTTAATTTAATCTTGTTTTTCATTATGTATATGGATTGCGAAAGATTGACATAATCTTCATTACGTCAGTTTAACGTAACAAAAATTACATGATAAAACCAGTTATTAATTGATAAAACGAATCAACATAATAAAATTGGTTTGCTCAATTTAATTTAATATTCAATTTAATATTTTTGTAATATAACTTATTTTAAATAGTCACTTTAATATTTCAAAAAGAATGCATTTGTAACAAGGAAAAACTTTAAATAAAAAATATCTAATTTTAAAAGAGACAGCTTTTGTTAGCATGGTTTTGTCTCTTATAGATAAGGATGTACCGAAAAAGTCACTTTTATTTTCTTAAACGCACAATCATATGCTTTAGTTACATGAATCAGTTTATCACATCTTATATGTATAAAGTAAAATCAGCATGAAATACGAATATGAATATGAATATGAATAATATGTTTTCAAATCTTCTAATATAATATAGTCACAAAAGTATCTCTATAAAACATTTATTTCGTAATATGATTAAAATTTATAATCACTAATTAATACAGTTATATTCTTTAAAATTTAATTTAAATCTTTTAAAGTAATTGTTAATGCAAATATATTTTTAATATAAATATTTTTTTGCTACGTTGTTATATTTTCAAAAGAATTTTAGCTAATAATATTATTTAAAAGCAAAATAGCCACATGGCAAAAATTGTATTAATAATGTTAGATATTATATATCTACAAGATGTGAAATATATATGAATCTTCTAAGAATATAAGACTTAAAGATTTATTATTTCAAATAACTCTAAAATCTCTAAAAATCAGAGAAATACTTAAATGCGTTATGCCATGAAAAGTCACTGACAAGTTTGATTATCGTTTCAAGTCGTTATACGCAATATCAATATCGTAACTACTTCATCGATGTCGAAACTTGAAAACATAACAATATAAGGTCAGCCCATAGCAAGATTATTTAAATTCAACTTTAGAGATTATTTGAAGTACTCGTGAAGTAATCTTTGATTAATAAGAATCTTGTTTTAGATGATACATGTGAGAACACAATAATCGATACGAACTAGAAATTAAATGTCTATAACGATCGAAGTTGGATCTTTAATACTTAAATAATTCAATGTGAATTATATACTATATATATTTTTTTTTCATACGTATGAAAAAAAAAAATATATATAGTACATAATTCACATTGAATTATTTAAACGTAATTAACGTTTTTCAAAATATATTTTTTGAAAATATACACTTTCAACAAAACATAAAATAAATATTTTTAACAGAATACTTGCTTGTAATATATGTACATACGAGATAAACAACAAGAATGTAATGCGATGCACAGCTAGCTGTGTCACACCGTGTCATGTACGTGTGTCTCTTTTGTTGGAAGGCACCCATTATTATCAATTTCTCACATCACGTTGTTTGCTTAAAATGAGAAATTACAGAATAGACTCCTTAGTTTTAGAGAAAATATTTTGTAAATATTCTTTATATTGAACTAAATACACGTTCTCTGAATATACTTAGAATATGAAAAAGAATATTTATTCCGACCTATCTGGAATATTTAAATTGGTCTTATTTTGATATTTTGTGTATGTTTATAGAATATTTTTTAATACATTGTAAGAATATTTTAATATTCTCAACGAATGTTTATAGAATATTTATTGAAAGTGTTTGTGTTATCTGGGAAGTGTATATTTTCAAAAAATGTATATTTTGAAAAACGTTAATTACATTTAAATAAAATTAAAAACTTGAGTTGGCTACTTTTTGGGCTACTTTATTTTCAAAATCGGCTACTTTTCGTAAAGTCACTAAATTGTTAAAGTACCGCAATTGATTTCAGAAATGTCGCGTTAAAATGGCCAAAGTGCACATAGTACACGATTCGAAGTACATCAGGGTTCAGCTTTGGGTCAATTGGGTACAGCTAACCTAACCGTACATTTTCGAGACATTTTCGTCAATCTCGAGGTTGAAGGCGCAAATTCATTATCATTGTGTGTTGATATTAACACAATATAAATCTCTTAGAAGTATGTACTTATTGTACATATGTGTCCTTCGTGCACTTTTATGCACAAAACTTCTACGACAAATAAATCCGTATTAAACTAAAGAACACATAAATCGAGCATTCGTACATATTCTTTTGTTCATAAATAAACTAATTACAATTAAAAAACATTGATTAATATACTTGACGGCTTCATTTTCCCAAATAAAGCACGTAATACAAATGCATAAATTTGAAATGGCCGCGTTTCACGTGAAAATGGATGCGAGTTTGCGATACTTTAACAATCTAGTGACTTTAACTTTTGGGCTACTCGAGCGCCACCATTGGGCTACTTCTAACGAAAAATATCTGGCAATACTGGTGCTGTCAAGTTGAGTCTCCTTTTATCTTTTACTTCGTGGCGGTGACTTAACAGTGACGGACTTTCAGTGAATCTGGCTTGGAGTTAAATAGATATTCTGAAATCTGAGATGAACGCTGTGAAAGACGAAGATGATTTTTGGTACAGCAGCGAGAGGCGGTCGTTCTGCTTTGAGAACGAAGTTATGATTGTAACGAATTGTAAATTGTGAATTCTCTGAGCGGCAAGTATTTGAGAATCAAATTGCAGGTGGATCAATTGAAGAGCGACACGCAGAAACTGTGGACCGGAATTTTTAATACATCAAACCTTGAAAATAGCCTTCAGTCTACTAATGATCTTCAAACTACAAAATCTCTTCTCTCAGTTATATCTGAAAAGACGCTTTCACGCAGTATGTCAAGAGTATTTTTTAGAATTCTTCTAATGTTAATGACAAAGCGTTATTTGCATTTTTGAGATGATTATCAACAAATAATGAATATTCTTATTAGATGTTTATTAATATTAAAAAATTATCAAATTGCTTGTATGACTTAACAAGTAATATTATATATTACTATTCTGATTCTGTGTACGAGTATATTTCAAGTCCGGAAAAACAATTCAGCGCATGGATTGTGGAATCAGAAATGTATATAGTTCATACTAAATATAAATTAAAGCATTTAAAATCTACTTTGATCAAAAATGGAAATTCTTCATACTGAGTTAGTTATTCTATTTCTTTAGTCCTATTTCAAATAATTGTTAATGACAAAGTTTAAAATATTTTTGTAAAATCTTTTTGAGCATCTTGTAGTTTTAGATGCAGATAAATCAAAAAATGGTCATTCAAAAATAGAACATAAGTACCTTGAAATTGACGTTGCGCAGCCAGACATCACCTTGAGAGAGATATTGCTCGGACAATCATATTCATTAGAACGATACAAGTCTCTTGCTAGCAAAACTGCTTTATTAGATGCTGCTATCTCAAATGGAGATGGAAATTCTATTTTAATAGTACGAATTTAAAATATTTATACAGCTAAAATAATAATCTTGCAATAAATTATCAAGAAAAAAATTATAAATCTTGTTAATGCTTGGTTAACGTTGCAGATAATTTTATTTCTTATAAAAACTTTAAAACGATCGTTAGTACAAAGACTATTAGTGGAGAGACCGGATGCGGTAAATGTATATATTTATTATCTGTTTATAAGGCTGCAAACAAGTGAAATAACTGATATTTTAACGTAAGTAATATTTCTATAATATATTAGGTACCACGAAAAGTTCGTGTCGTTTTTCCCCCATAAACATCTTTTGAAAAAACGACACGAACTTTCCACAGTACTAATACCTAATACAATTAATGATTTATTTTAGTACTTCTTTTAATACTTGATGTTTTACAGAATGTTAGATCATTCCTCAACTGCTGCTGTAAGTATTATTATAAATATCATGTAATTTAAGTTGCAAATTTTATTTGCTGGTTGATTACAGATGAAGAATCTGCATATTATTATAAAAAACACAAAAGATCCAAATAGACTATGGCAAAAACTTCACAATTGTTACAAGGCACTGTTTACTATGTTACCCAATTGCAAAGAAACTATGTTTCTGGAATCTTATATTAAGTTGCTGGGTATGTTCGTATTATCTCTCTTTTGCTATCATGAAAAAATTATATTATTGGTATCGTAAATTGTTAGAATGGCAATTGGCGATCAAACAAAAAAAGAATGATGAGGAACTTCCGTTAAATTCTTCTATTCTGGAATCTCTATATCATGCATGTAAACACCATTGCAATACACCGAATGATTTTGTCACGATATCACCCATGATGCTCTCTCGAGATCATAATATTTCTCCTCGACTATATCAGAAGGTCACTTTACAAGTTAAAGCCGCCTGTGGTGGATGGGACGACATTGATCGTTTACTCTTAACAAAGGTAGAGTGTTCATTTATGTAAATCAATTTTTATGTATTCCATCAGAATTATATCAATTATGTTTAGGGAATACTTGGTAATACAAAATTACAAACGCATTTGTATATAGAAGATGTTTTGAAAGTTTTATACAAATATAATGCGCCACATGCTGTTCTCGAAAAATATTTAAAATTTATCGACAATCTAGAGAAACGATTGGAATTGGCAAAAAAACTATCTTGCCATACAATAGTAATCGATGTACGTAGATAAATACTTTTCTAATTTCTAAGAAAGGAGATTATGGATGAAAGAATAATGATATAGGATAGTACTACATTTATATGTATATGTTTCTAGATATTTGTTCAACAAGGGGATCGTATGGTACTGATGGATTACAAAGCAAAATTACAACCTCAATCTGAAGACTATTTTTATGCTGAGAGTGCTTTGCATTTACCAAATATTAAGTGGAAAAATTAAACATATATAAAACATTATATATACTTGAATTGTATATTTAAAGTATCATTTCTTGTGTGTTGGGTTACTTCTCTGATAAAAATAGTTGATAGAGAACAATAGAAAAATCCTATTATTTCGAATATGAGTCTGGTTCGTGAATTTACTAATTTGAATCAAATCTTGTAAGAATCTTATACAAATCTTATAGAATCCGATAAGTACGATAAGATTCATATCCGAGCAATCGTGATACTCGCGAGGTTGATGTTAGAAAATGATATAAATATTAGAAAACGATACAAATAGAGATTCTATCGTTCTCGCAATCGTTCCCTATCAACTTTTTTTATCAGAGTTTGCGCTCGCAACGTTTGCAAGCATTATTTAGCCTTGTTTAATTGTACAACTTTTGATAAACCACAAGGATGGAATGATTTCATAAGTATTGCAAGCGCCAAATGAAATGTCCTTTATGTCCATGAGATGCTACGTCGTGATCATGTAATTTCAATGGCGTAAAGTGAAATTCCACAGAATTTTACGTATCATTTGTATAAAAGATTACCTTTTTAAAAAAGATAAAAACAGTCATTAAGAATATATATATACCTTTCGAATAGAACCTAAGAAATACATTACGTATTTTTTTATTATTCCAACCCAAGAAGTAGTAGTTTTAGTTGTTCAAATATATTCTTATTGAAGATCTTTTTATTCCAACTCAAGTAATGGCAGCTTTAATTCTCTATTAAAAATTATTACTCCTCGAAAAAAATTATTATACCAAATTAAAACCTTAAATAAGTCTTAACTAAGTTAAATTCTATCAAATTAAAAAGTAAAATCCAAAAATAAATAAACTATTTTTGTTATTTACTTAACTCTAATGATATGTATCATTTGTATAAAAGATTTGATATTAACCTGACGCCAAATTACATGTAACATTCAGATTAAATTCGGATAATTATTTAGAGTACCCCCCTCCCCCTACCTAAAATTTTAATAAAAATATACTCACTCGACGCGTTCTCACTCAAAACAAAAGAATCTAACAGAGAAACATGGCGGCCAGCCTCGTGAATCGAGTTATTAAGCGTCAAAGTTCGAGACTTAAGGCGTTGTCTACAATATGCGAAGTAAGCTTGGTTTAAGTAGAGGCCTAAATAACAGAGATGCGACATTGAAGGGTATGGTCTGATTGGCTGTCTTAATCACGTGATCAGAGAGCCATTTTAATTCATTACTGCGTATGATTAGAATTCTAGGACTCTACGTATAGAGTCTAATAATATATGTACGTATAATGTATATACTATTAAGTACATACTATAAGTACGTACTATATTTTCTTCTTTTTCTAACAATTTAATTTTCCTCATGTAATGCATCAGCTGTCATCAGCTTATGCAGGTGCCTTTTCATGCCGACGCTCGACGCTCATTATCGGCGTCGAAATAAATCACGTGATAAAAATTGGCGAATATCAAGCGTCAATTTTGATCTTATGATTTATTTTGACGCTGAAAACAGCTGAAAACGATCGTTAAGCGTCAGCATGAAAAGGCACCTTATGATTATAAGTACTTATACTGAATTAAAATGGCGATGACAACTTAACCCATTCTAGAGTTCTAGATTTATCAAAGAGGCGCAACCGATGTTATGCATTCTGATTCGCTGTTGCAATCTAACCAATTGTATGACTTGGCAGCCATTTATAGTACTAGTGACATATTTCTATTTCATTTTATCCTATACATTCTATCTCACATTATTCTACACGTTTTATCTTGTTGACATGGCAGTTTCATAACATGTATGATGTAGGCCATGTTTAGTACTCTCCTTAGCACCTTTGTCATACTGACTTAAGCCGGTTGCGCCTTTCTGATAAATCTAAGGGTGGAGTCCCATGAAGCGTATTTGCCGCGTATTGCGTAACCGCGTAACCAATCAATAATCAGTAAAACACGAAATCACAACAGCGGATCGCTTCTGATTGGTTACGCGGTTACGCGATACGCGGTAAATACACCTCATGGGACTCCAGCCTGAGACTCTAACCTAATCAACGCAATGTCGCATCTCTGGTATCTAGGCTTCTAGATTTAAAAAGTAACAGTAAGAAATTGATCAATCACAGTCGATTGTGAAAAGAATAATTGACTATGGTTGGTCAATTTCTTACTCTTCTTACACCAAGCTTACTTCGCGTATTGTAGGTTAACATACCATCCCGATTCGATACAGCATTATGTATACGTTTTATGTATACCTTTGTAGTTATAATATGTAGTTATATATAAACCAGAGTTCCAGGACACTGAAAATAAAATTGTTACAGTCAATAAATTATAGAAAACGTTTTTTTTTTACACTGTGTGTGTGTGTGTGTGTGTGTGTGTGTGTGTGTGTGTGTGTGTGTGTGTGTGTGTGTGTGTGATGTGTGTGTGTGTAATGAATGTATGAATATAAGGCCTATTCTTTTTGTCTGAACTTTTGCACCAGTTCATCTTTCTTCTTCTTCTTTCCTGCTGGAGAGAAAAGGAAAAAAGATGAACTGGTGCAAAGGTTCAGCCAAAAAGAACACGCCTATATATATCTATATACTTGTATTACTACATATTTGCCGTCGATGGCCCCAATGCGCGCAATGGGGAAAATTTCATAATTGTTCGAAATTGTTTGCAATAGATAATCACTCTTCTTTTTCCAATCTTGGTGGAAGCACAAGACCATTAAGACAAAACCATATGGCTTCACAAGTTTCCTTGATGACGTTACAGTTGTTAAACCTCGCAAATACTGGTATTGAATAGAGCTCATCCCTCCAGATGCTAAATATTTGGTGAAAGAGATATCAGTTTTTAGTATTATAATTTAAATAATTTTGAATTAAATAAATGAAATAGATAAGTTAAGGAAATAAATTTAATTCGATTACCTCAATGTTATTGCTAACCTCTCTCCAGGACTCACAGCTTTTCTTATATCAAATTTTTTAGGGGCATTGACCACGTCTCGATTGGACACCACCAATCACAGCGACCGGTGCTTAGGAGCTTTGTAGTCTCAAGCGCTGTGAGTGGCTCGTGTCCAATTGAGCCGTGTCCAACTGGGTGCCACCCAATTTTTTAATCAATATGAGGACCAATGATCAAAAGCTCTTCAAATTGAATTGATGAAAATTCACAATAAAAAATGGAGGATTCCATTAAAAAATTTTATGTGATATGGACTTGACCTTAAGGACTTCTTATCAAGGTTCTTATCAAACGGAACCAAGGTCACCGTCTTTTTTCCCCCTTGAAACCATAAAATTTTTGTCTAAAACATTTTTTGAAAAAATTTCTCCTTTTCAAGATATTCGCGTGTATTGATTAAAATGGCCTATCCTGTATAAGTAAAAGAGAGACATTATTTTTTTAAACTTATTTTGATAATAATTTTACAATGAATGGTGACCGCCGCCGGAGGTTACTCAGGGTCATGACTTCGATAATATATGTCAAGATCAAGGTCATCGGCGAGGTTTAACCTTTCCGCAATAATTACCAAAATATTTTTTAATGAATCTTCACGACAAAATATGAACAAAATCTAAGGTAGCTTGTAAATCATTAACTTCTCACTTTAATGTTTTTTGTATACAACTCGAGCGCGAGCACATTGGTCTACCATGCCAGAGGTCCCAGGAGGAACCAAAAATATTTACGCTCATGTCTTCTCTCGGAAAAGGTCGGCAATCTCCTGAGAGTATTTTTGCTCACAAAAACACCTCTCGAAAAATCTGCCGTTCGGAATCGGCATTAAAACTGTAGGTCTCATATATTCGTGGGTGCGTACCACAAGCATATGAGAAAGATGTAAGAGGCCAGAGACCTAACGGAAGAAGAAGAAGATATACAGAATCATTATGGAAATTAAATTAAATAAAAAAATCACATAATTATATTTCAAATCAAATACTCTTGAAATCTTCTTCATATCTCTATGTACAATGACAGTATTAATACTGCATTACATATTTCTTGAAATTACAAAATCTTAAAGTTTCAACTTTTTCTGTTATTTAGAGTATTATATATATAGGGTATCTCGAACTTTTTTGCCAATCACTTTTGTGTAGATAAAGCGGACTAAACTGAATCGAAAAGTCCTATACCATTTTGCAATTTTCGCAGTAGTAACAAGATATTAATTACTAAAAATTGCCAAATATTAGTCTTGAATAATTTTTTACTCAAATACTCTTTACGCAAATGAACTTTATAGAAAAGCTGCAAAAGACAAAAATAATTTATTTTCTTCTCATAAAGTTCTGAGAATTTTTTCAGAATTTTTTCAGAATTTTTTAATACCGTATTTTTTTATGTTGATAAAAATAAGAAAATGCAATACTAAAAAGTTGATAAAATATTCTGAAAAAATTCTCAGAACTTTATGAGAAGAGAATAAATTAATTTTATCCGTTACAGTTACAGTTTTTCTGTAAAGTTGATAGTATTTGAGTAAAATATTATTCAAAACTAATATTTTGCAATTTTTAATAATTAATATCTTGTTAACTATTGCGAAAATTGCAAAATGGTAGAGGACTTTTCGACTCAGTTTAGTCCGCTCTATCTACACAAAAGTGATTGTCAACAAAGTTCGGGACACCCTGTATAATATTAGAGTGCCCGAGTTACAACAGAAATACTTTGTATTGTATACAGAGTGTCCCGTAATTATTAACGCAACGCTTATGGACTAATAGAGTAGAACTGAGTTGAAAAGTTATCCATTTACAATTTTCATGATTGGGCGAGTGAACGTGGGTTCATTTGATAATCTTTGTTAATTAATATCTCGTTAATTATCGTTCATGTACAGGTAGAATAGAATAAACTGATTCGAAAAGTTCTGTGTCATTTTGTAATTTTCGTAATAATTAACGGTCGGTGCAAACGAATATAAACGAATCATTCGGCAATCTTTAAAAATTAATATCTCAACTATTGCGAAAATTGCAAAATGGTACAGAATTTTCCGATTCGATTTAGTTCGTTCTGTCTACCCACAAGAGTTGTATCAATAATTACGGGACACCCTGCAAATACATAGATACAAATACATATGTATACATAAGAAAAGTACAATTTTTTGCGACTATTCGGATATCATTTTATTTTTGCAGATCCTGATTCGTATTTTTCTTCATGGAAATTGAAAATTATTATCATAATATTGATGATTCAAGGAAAAATTGCTCCAGTAGGACATGTTTGTTTTATGTACATTTTTTCGTCTGTAGAACATTTGATACGTTTAGAAAACGTATATAAAATATATATAAACCAATAGCTACCAATGTTACCTGGGTAAATAATATTATTATCAAATCATTATAATTTTCGGTTTCCATAAAGAAAAATACATAAGAAAATGTAGAAATAAAATCCTTAAACAATTACAAGAAGGTGAAAGTTGTACCGTCCTTCGCGCGCGCGCATTTATGTGTACATGCGTACATATGTGCCTGCGTATGTACATGAGTGTGCATGCGCACGGGTATGCGTACATTTACATACATGTATAAAACTTTCTAAATAGAAATAATATATTTGCCGATTAAATGATTCAGCTGAAACTTTGTTACTCTTTTTCTTT